ACAATGTATGCAGGAATCACTCTCTCGGCGCTCTGGAGTCGCGCTCTCGCTGGAGACTCGCTTGCAACCTACTGACGAATAGCGCCCTTGCGTTGGAATTTCTACTCAAGCGCCGCGCTCCCGACACCCAGGCACCCAGGAGTCGCGCTCACGCTTAGGACACCCTCGCAGTTTACCTAGGAATCGGGACCTCGCTGCCCTTCGCGGCCCCGTTGCAGCCCTTCGTGGCCCCCTCGCTTTGTTTCGCGGTTCCGTTGCAGCCCTTCGTGGCCCCCTCGCTTTGTTTCGTGGCCCCGTTGCAGCCCTTCGTGGCCCCTCTCGCTTTGTTTCGTGGGCCCGTTGCAGTCCTTCGTGGCCCCGTTGCAGCCCTTCGAGGCCCCCTCGCTCCCCGTCGTGGCCCCGTTGCAGCCCTTCGTGGCCCCCTCGCTTCCCTTCGTGGCCCCATATACGTATGCCCTTCGTGGCCCCCGCTCGTTCGCGCCCGTGGTGGCCCCATATGCGTGCCCTTCGTGGCCCCGCTGTCGCCCTTTGTGGCCCCCTCGTTCCCCTTCGTGGCCCCGTTGCTGCCCTCAGTGGCCCCGTCCTTGCCCTCCGCGGCCCAACATACGTATGCCCTTCGTGGCCCCCGCTCGTTCGCGCCCGTTGTGGCCCCATGTGGATGCCCTTCGTGGCCCCGCTGTCGCCGTTTGTGGCCCCCTCATTGTCCTACGTGGCCCAGTTGCTACTTTCAGTGGCCCCATCGTTGCCTGTGGCCCCGCATTATCTACCAGTAGTGGCCCCCGCTCGTTCGCGCTCTTCGTGGCCCCATATGCATTCCCTTCGTGTCCCCGCTGTCTCCCTTCGTGGCCTACTTCGTGTCCTTCGTGGCCCTGGTGTCGTTCTCCCTCGCTCTCGCTTTCGCTCGTCGTCGCCGTCGTCGTCGTCGCCGTCGTCGTCGAAGTCGTCGTCGTCGTCGTCGTCGTCGTCGTCGTCGTCGTCGTCGTCGTCGTCGTCGGTCGGTACCCTGTCCGTCCCTGGTGGGGTCGGGTCGACGGTCCGCGGCCGCCCCGCCGATCAGCGCTGCCGCTGGCCAGGCCGACGGTCCACGGCCGCCCCGCCGCTTGCCGGGGCCCGGCCTGCAGGGAAGAAAGGTCTACCCCCCAAAAGGGGTTCGATCGATGACGAAGAGGGCGGGTATCGAGGGTTTGGGAAATCGGTGTTATTGGACACTCGAGCAGATCAGTGCGAGCAGTCTTAACATGGTTGTTATTTTGCTGCACTTTCACTCCTGAAGAATAATTGTTGTTGGCCTTCCCCGTCCGGTGCACATTATTTTGTTCGATTGAAGTGCCCTTCCCGAGGCTCGCACCCTGTTCATTATCAGGGAAAGTCTTGAGGGTCAAACTGTGTCGTTGGCCCCCGGGTTACAACAACAACGGCTCCCGCCTGATACTTCCTCAATTTAGCCGGGACCCCCGCTCCCGCCCGAGACTTCCCCGCATGGTATTCAGGAGTCGCGCTCTCGCTTGGGACTTCCTTACAATGTATGCAGGAATCACTCTCTCGGCGCTGTGGAGTCGCGCTCTCGCTGGAGACTCGCTTGCAACCTACTGACGAATAGCGCCCTTGCGTTGGAATTTCTACTCAAGCGCCGCGCTCCCGACACCCAGGCACCCAGGAGTCGCGCTCACGCTTAGGACTCCTTCACAGTTTACCTAGGAATCGGGACCTCGCTGCCCTTCGCGGCCCCGTTGCAGCCCTTCGTGGCCCCCTCGCTCTGTTTCGCGGTTCCGTTGCAGCCCTTCGTGGCCCCCTCGCTTTGTTTCGTGGCCCCGTTGCAGCCCTTCGTGGCCCCTCTCGCTTTGTTTCGTGGGCCCGTTGCAGTCCTTCGTGGCCCCGTTGCAGCCCTTCGAGGCCCCTTCGCTCCCCGTCGTGGCCCCGTTGCAGCCCTTCGTGGCCCCCTCGCTTCCCTTCGTGGCCCCATATACGTATGCCCTTCGTGGCCCCCGCTCGTTCGCGCCCGTTGTGGCCCCATGTGCGTGCCCTTCGTGGCCCCGCTGTCGCCCTTCGTGGCCCCCTCGCTGCCCCTTCGTGGCCCCGTTGCTGCCCTCAGTGGCCCCGTCCTTGCCCTCCGCGGCCCAACATACGTATGCCCTTCGTGGCCCCCGCTCGTTCGCGCCCGTTGTGGCCCCATGTGCATGCCCTTCGTGGCCCCGCTGTCGCCGTTTGTGGCCCCCTCATTGTCCTACGTGGCCCAGTTGCTACTTTCAGTGGCCCCATCGTTGCCTGTGGCCCCGCATTATCTACCAGTAGTGGCCCCCGCTCGTTCGCGCTCTTCGTGGCCCCATATGCATTCCCTTCGTGTCCCCGCTGTCTCCCTTCGTGGCCTACTTCGTGTCCTTCGTGGCCCTGGTGTCGTTCTCCCTCGCTCTCGCTTTCGCTCGTCGTCGCCGTCGTCGTCGTCGCCGTCGTCGTCGAAGTCGTCGTCGTCGTCGTCGTCGTCGTCGTCGTTGTCGTCGTCGTCGTCGTCGTCGTGGTCGGTACCCTGTCCGTCCCTGGTGGGGTCGGGTCGACGGTCCGCGGCCGCCCCGCCGATCAGCGCTGCCGCTGGCCAGGCCGACGGTCCGCGGCCGCCCCGCCGCTTGCAGGGGCCCGGCCTGCAGGGAAGAAACGTATACCCCCCAAAAGGGGTTCGATCGAAGACGAAGAGGGCGGGTATCGAGGGTTTGGGAAATTCGAGAAATTCGACACTCGAGCAGATAAGGGCGAACAGTCTTAACATGATGTTTGTTGTTGTTGATGTTGTTGTTGTTGTTGTTGTAGTTGTAGTTGTTGTTGGTGTTGCTGTTGTTGTTGTTGTTGTTGAACATTATTTATTCTAAAGAATAATTATTGTTGGGCCCCCTGGTGTACGCCCCCCCTGCGCCGCCTGGGCCGCAGCTACATTTTCATCATTTTCGTGAGGAAGCCTCAGGTAAAACGATGTGATCCAGATCCGGTTGTTTTGTTGTAATCCGTTTTCCCTTGCAAAAAACACTATAAAATGACATTTCTTGTTCTAATATAATCAAATTTCAAGAATCCCTTGCAAAAAATAAGGTAAAGTGGACATTCGCGCGCGCAAGACGAAATCCTTCCAAAAGCTTAGTGTTCGGAGCGATTTTAACATAAAAACATCAAAAAACCAATGGTTTTTCAACAAAAAAATGTCAAAATCTCATCCCGCGCGCTCTTGCGGATTCGTAGGAAACCCAACACTTTTTAAACATTTCTGTCAAACGGGCTTTTGCGAGCAACTTTTTCGAACTTCTGCGACAACGGTTGCGCACCTGCCAGGGCCATCATCCCTGTCAAATAATACCATGCGGGACACATTGGAACAACAATCGGGACAATCATCGGGACACTCATCGCGACAATTATCGGGACAACCACAACCATCAGGACCTCCAACCAGAGAGAGGTAGTCACGTGTATTTCGTCGACGAGTGAGCCAGTATTGCACATTGAGGCCGGAACGAGAACCACAGAACAAGAATGAGCATATATCGTCTCACAACAACGGAAACAAGTCCTGTGGTATGCTGGCGCCACGCACGTGATACCAGTCAAAATAAGGGTCTTGGCTTGTGTGGTACAGAAACGTTAAAACGTCGGAAAACGGTACACGTGCCCATTGTTGGAACAGGGGTATAAGTCGTATACTAAGCTAGTTTCCACAAGATGTTACCACAAGAAGTCATTGTAACCATGCGCCAGTGTAGTAGCCAAGGTCGTCCGCAGGCCACGAAGTGAAGTGTCCGAACGTCATAGGGCGGGAAGCTGGGTGTGGGTGGTGGCGAAGAGTCGTTTGGAAACTTGGTAGAGCTTGAACCGGCCCCCCCACAAAGTGGGGGTATTGCCCGCCTCCTATGAAAACCCTGGCACTGGTGAGAACGGAGTGTCCCCAGTCTTAAATGATTGTTGTTGTTGTTGTTGTTGTTGTTGTTGTTGTTGTTGTTGTTGTTGTTGTTTTGTTGGTGTTGTTGTTGTTGGTGGTGGTGGTGGTGGCGGTGTTGTTGTTGTTGTTGTTGTTGTTGTTGCTGCTGCTGTTGTTGTTGCTGTTGCTGTTCTTGTTATTGTTATTGTTCTTGTTCTTGTTATTGCTATTGTTCTTGTTCTTGTTCTTGTTCTTGTTGTTGCTGTTGTCCCACCCGTGACCTACCTGCGACCCACCCCCTCGACCCACCCCGCGTCCCACCCCGTGACCCACCCCGCGACCCACCCCGCGACCCACCCCGCGACCCAACCCGCGACCCACCCTCGACCCGCTCCGCGACCTACCCGCGACCCACCCGCGACCCACCCGCGATTCACCCCGCGACCCACCCGCGACCCACCCTGCGACCTATCCGCGACCCACCCGCGACACATTTGCGACCCACCCGCGACCCACCCCGCGACCCACCCGCGACCCACCCGCGACCCACCCCGCGACCCAACAGCGACCCACCCGCGGCCCACCCGCGACACACCCGCGACCCATTTGCGACCCTCCGGCGACCCACCCGCGACCTACCCACAATGGTTTAACGAAAAATCGGCGCTTGCGGCGAGTTCCTTGTATAATTTGTGAAACTTCGGCGCCTGCGGCGGGCTTCTCCAGAATATCGCAAACTGCCAGCGTCTCCACCGCCCCCTTCACTCTTATCCGCATCTGCGATGTGCTACGTATAATGATCACGGCGACCCGCCCCGCAGAAGCTATGATGAACACAGCGCGGCGTGAGAAACAGCTTCAGTCCATACCATGTCGTGCCTACATGTGTGTGCTTCCATTGACACCGCCTCCACCACCGCGGTCCTGCCTTCATACCTGCTTGCCTGCATCCCTCGCCCATCTCCCCCTCCATCGGCCACCTCCTCCATCCACACCGTCTACTCCAACCTTCCCCCCAAACGAAGCCCCGGAGACGCCTCACTTCCACGTCCACGCCACGGCGGGCAGATTCCGCGGCCGGAAGGCCGCGGGTCAGCCCTAGTCAGCTACAGCTCGGGCATCAGCGCGTGCGAGAAGGGCGAGCAGTGGCAGCGGGCGCTGGCGCTGCTGAGCGAGATGTGGGAGGTGAAATTGGAGCCGGACTTCATCTTTACTGCATTGCAGGCACACGCGCGTGCGAGAAGCACGCTGCCTTGATGGCTCCTCCGGCGCCCGGGCGGGTGCCAGCGGGCCTCTCTGGGGCGGCCCTGGGCCGTTCCAGGACGCCCAAAGAGAGAGCGCCTCACGGAGGAGGAGGAGGAGGAGGAGGAGGAGGAGGAGGACGAGGAGGAGGACGAGGAGGAGGATGAGGAGGAGGAGGAAAGGCGGTCCCAGACGGCCGTGGGACACCACGGCGGGACACCCCCGGCCACGCTGGCCCACCTTGACCTGCCCTGCAGCCCTCGAATGCGCCTCGGGGCACGAGTAGGCCAGCCCTGGCGGGGAGAGACGGCCGTGGGCCGCTCCCAGACGCCCAACATGTAGCTGCAAGACTGTCCAAAAGGCCCCCAAGACACTCGTAAGGGTGTTCCACGAGGACCCCCACCAGGGCCCCAAGGAGCAAGCATCGTCCCAAACCCTTAAGGGGGACAGACAATCTTCGCATTTTCGTTTTCTAAGAAAACGTTTAAAAGCGCCTAAATGTTCACGTGTTTCGTTTTTGTTCCCCCGTTTTCGTTCTAAACGCCAACGCGTTCGTTTTAAACATCGCTGTGCTCGGTCCTTGGTTTTCTTCGTTTGAAAATCGACCGAGGCTGCCCGACTGCCCGAAAGGCGTTCGATGTTGCCCAAGACGGCCCAAGAGGCCCCAAGAGGGCCCCCAGGCAACCCAAGGCGGACCCAGGATGGCCAAAGAGGCGTCCAAGACGTCCTCCTCCTCTTCCTCCTCCTCCTCCTCCTCCTCCTCCCAACAATTGACCAGTCCTCTTTCGATTGTCGCGAAGCGACGCCCAGTTGCGAGTCAGCCTCGAGGCTTCCGTCTTGCCGCACCCAAGGGTTCCGAGCCGAGCCTCCTCCTCCTCCTCCTCCTCCTCCTCCTCCTCCTCCTCCCTCCTCCCTCCTGCCTTCTCCTCCTCCTCCTCCTCCTCCTCCTCCGTACCCAGAGGCTTCAAAGCTGCCTCCAAGAGAGGGGGCTCGGCGCTCCTGACAGAGCGCTCCGCTTTTCACGGAAATCCAGCAGAACAGCCCCCCCCAATTTATTGGGGTGCTTCGTTGAATTCTTGCTCAGTGTGAGGCCGTCTTTGCAGTGTTTGGACTTTCTCCTCCGCCTCCTCCTCCTCCTTCCCCTTCCCCTTCCCCTCCTCTCTTCTCCTCCTCCTCCTCCTCCACCTTCTCCTCCTCTCCCCCTCCCCTTCTTCTCCTCCTCCTCCTCCTCCCCCTCCTCCTCCTCTCCTCCTCCTCCTCCCTCCTCCCTCCTCCTCCTCCTCCTCCTCCTCCTCCTCCTCCTCCTCCTCCTCTCCTCCTCCTCCTCTCCTCTCCTCCCCCTCCTCCTCCTCCTCCTCCTCCTCCTCCTCCTCCTCCTCCTCCTCCTCCTCCTCCTCCTCCTCCTCCTCCTCCTCCTCCTCCTCCTCCTCCTCCTCCTCCTCCCTCCTCCTCCTCCTCCCTCCTCCTCCTCCTCCTCCTCCTCCTCCTCCTCCTCCTCCTCCTCCTCCTCCTCCTCCTCCTCCTCCTCCTCCTCCTCCTCCTCGTTCCCCTCTGTCGGTCTCGGTCCCAGGCCGTTTTCACTAAGGGGACGTTTGCTAAAGGGAGGTTTGTCCACCGCCAAATTGTTATGGCCGGACCGGATTGTGTCCTCTAGTGTTGTGTCCCTTAGTGTTGTGGAGGACGATCAATGGAGTGGAAGCATGTTGCCAAACAAATTCCAGATGTCTAAAACATGTGTTGAACATGTTTCAGACGTGTGAAAACATGTTTAAAACATGTGTAGAACATGTTTCCAATATTTTCATACATGTTTAATTCAATGATAGGACTGTTAGGTTGTCCACTGTCGTGGCATCCACAACCCTAGTGTTCTTCGTGTTTGTTTGGTCTTCTTTCAGGAGGGAAAGAAGCACACAAACACAATGACTCGTCGATTCCCCAGAAGATCTGGGGAACTATGGGAAGTGGGGGGGAAGACGAAACCCCCCCAAATATGGCGGAATCCTCTTCTTTGTGTCTATGGTTTTGTGTGTCCCTGGGCCCCTTCATTCTTGTGCATCCTGGGGGAGGGTACGCTCGAGTGATCTTCTGGTTTAGGGTGCTTTGGCCGGCGAAGGGTCTGATGTTCTTGAAGAATGTTCTTTTGCCCGAGGTCCGACCGTGATCTGCGCTGCGGTCGGCCGGAGATCATCGGGAAACACATTTGAAGCCCCCTTGGAGCCCTCCTGGGCTCCCCCCGGTAGCGCCCTGCGAGCTTCCCCGGCGATGCCGGATCCTTTCAGCAGATTTTTCGGCCGCCCAATCAGGAATTTCGGAGGGTTCCCGGAGGGGTCTCCGATTTAGCAACTGTCTTAACAAGACGGCACGTCCGACCCAACAGCGTTTTTTGTTTGCATCAGGTTCTGTGAGATTGCATGCCCTCATGAAGCCCTCTTGGGCTCCCCGGGAGCGCCGTGCGAGTTTCCCCAGCGATCCCGCAACCGTTCAGCAAGTTTCTCGGCCGCCCATTTAGAAGCCCCTGAAGCGCCCCAGAGGGCATCCAATTCGACCAAAATCTGACAAGACGGCACGTCCGACCCAACATGAGCTTGTTTTTCCCAACCATCCTGTGGTGTTGGGTCCTCGTTTTGAAGAGACAGCGCCCGCTCACGCTCCCGCTCCTCCTCCCCCTCCTCCCTCCTCCCACCATCATCATCGTCATCATCCTCCATTCCGGCACACCCCTCACACGTTTCGTGGCCCCATAGGGAGCCCCACCGAAGGCCCCAGTGCTGCCGCCCGCATGCGTCCCGCACACCCAATTCGGCACACCCCTCACACGTTTCGTGGCCCCATAGGGGGCCCCACCGAAGGCCCCAGTGCTGCCGCCCGCATGCGTCCCGCACACCCAATTCGGCACACCCCTCACACGTTTCGTGGCCCCATAGGGAGCCCCACCGAAGGCCCCAGTGCTGCCGCCCGCATGCGTCACGCACACCCAATTCGGCACACCCCTCACACGTTTCGTGGCCCCATAGGGAGCCCCACAGAAGGCCCCAGTGCTGCCGCCCGCATGCGTCCCGCACACCCAATTCGGCACACCCCTCACGCGTTTCGTGGCCCCATAGGGAGCTCCACCGAAGGCCCCAGTGCTGCCGCCCGCATGCGTCCCGCACACCCAATTCGGCACACCCCTCACACGTTTCGTGGCCCCATAGGGAGCTCCACCGAAGGCCCCAGTGGCGGCGCTCACATGCGCATGCGTCCCGCACACCCATTTCGGCACATCCCTCACAGTTTCGTGGCCCCATCATCCACCGGAGGCCCCAGTGGCGGCGCTCACATGCGTCACCCACACCCACCCAATTCGGCACACCCCTCACACGTTTCGTGGCCCCATAGGGAGCTCCACCGAAGGCCCCAGCGGCCGCGCTCACATGCGCCACCGCCACCCATCCCGACACGCCCCTCACAACAACAGGTTTCGTGGCCCCATAGGGAGCTCCACCGAAGGCCCCAGTGGCACCGCCCGCATGCGTCACCACCCGCATGGCCCCATAGGAAACTGCATCGAAGACACCAGTGGCGGCGCTCACATGCGTCCCCGCCGCACATCCCAGTACACCCCTCACGCGCTTCGTGGCCCCATAGGGAGCTCCACCGAAGGCCCCAGTAGCGGCGCTTACATGCGTCTCCGCCACCCATCCTGCCCCCCCCCCCCCGCAGCAGCATCATGTTTCGGGGACCCATAGGGAGCTTCACTGGAGGCCCCAGTGGCGGCCCTCACATGCGTTTCCGCCACCCATGTCGGCACGCCCCGCGCGTGTTTCATGTCCCCATAGGGAGCTTCGCCGAATGCCCCAGTGGCACCCATCTTGGCACACCCCTCACACGTTCCGTAGTCCTATGGGGAGTTCCACTGAAGATGAAACCCGCAGCTGCGGTACTGACAACTGCATATGGTTGGGTTCTTCGCCAGGCTAATTTTCTTCCAGAGCGATGATGGGCGTCACTGGGGGGGGGGAGGGTCTGGTGACGTCACGTTTCGCGTCGGCAGCGTCTGGGAATGGTTTGGATTAAGTAGGGCGTGTCCCTCTATAGGGGAGATATCCCGAAACAGTGAAAAAATAGTTTGCGGACGATTTGTTCAACATTTTTGGATTATTTTGGCGTCTTTTCGAGTATTTGTAGTTTTTCGCCCTAAATCCGCCTGTGACAGGGGAGCAGCATGCAGGTGGCGATCTGCACCACAGCGCCTGTGTGAACCACAGTGCCTGCGTGCACCACAACGCCAGTGTGCACCACAGCGCCATATACCACAGCAGCCGCGCGCAACACAGCGCCAGCTTCCCATCTGCGTCCAGAAGGCTCTCGCAGAGTTGGCCGTCCGAGAACCACGTGGACTGATTAAATCTACAATTTTTCCGGGATGCGCACTGAGATACGCACGTGCGTTGCAGCGCCGACCCGCGCGACGGGGGGAGGGTGAGGGAGGAGGAGGAGGAGGAGGAGGAGGAGGACGAGGAGGAGGAGGAGGAGGAGGAGAAGGAGGGAGAGGTGAAGAACATCGCATTATAGTTTCAGCGCTCCCCTTGCGTGATGTGTAGCTGTCCGCAGCAGATTATCATCGACATGCTCCTTCTACCTGTCCTGTGCGCGCAGGCGCTGTGGTGCACGCGGATGATGTGGTGTACACAGGCGCTGTGGTGTGCGCAGGCGTTGCGGTGCACGCAAGCATTGTGGTGTACACAGGCGATGTGTTGCAGACGGCTGCTGCGATGTACACATTCGGTGTGGTGTACACAGGCGCTGTGGTGCACGCAAGCACTGTGGTGTTCACAGGCGCTGTGTTGCACGCAGCTATTGCTGAGTACACAGGCGTTGTGGTGTGCACGCGCGCTGTGGTGTACAAGCGCGCGGTGGTGCACGCGGACACTGCGGTGCACACAG